AATGGGGTCCCATGTGGGTTTCATTTGACGTTTGCCCGGGGATTCCCGCGCTCCCCCCCCCCCCCCCCCGCTCCGATCCTCTGTACCGATATGCTGCACGTTAAATCGAATGCGAGGAGAGGGACACTGCTTGTAACCTACGGGACTTTCACCGCACTCCAATACAATCAAAGCCGCGCTGACATTAAGACCTAACCCTTGGTTTCCTTTCGACCCTCGGATGCTCTCGGTCGGTTGGCCTTCATGTGACCGGCCTTTGCTCTGCTCTGCTTCGGTGGTGGCGGTGGCGCTGGGGGTCCCGCAGGAGAACGTGTACCCGAAGGGCCCGTCGGTCCAGTTCTACAAGCTCTTCTTAGAGGACACCATCAAGGAGAAGCTCGAGAGGTTCGGGGCCATCGCGGTCATCGAATGGGACGTACTGGTTGCGCACGACAAGAGCTTCGAGAAACTCTACGTAGCTGCCTTCGACGTTGTCGAGCCCTTCTGGGTGAAGGGCAGCATCCTCGCCGGGACCAACTTCCACGGGACGGTCACGATCACGGACAACTGGCACATGCTCGGACACATCAACGGCAACGCTATCTACAACAACTCCGACCCGGCGTTCGCCGATTTCGTGGAGTTTACCCTCGCCAGGTGGGGGTACAGCTACAGCTACGATGTCGCGCTGTGGGCGACCGTCTCGGATTTCCCGTACAGCTGGCCGCTGTGGCAGCGGTTCTCGAGCAAGTTCGTCTCGACCAACTTGGTGAGCGTTTACTTGGTGTTTTTTGAGATAATATGCGTGTGGCCGTTGCGCAGCCCGCGAGGGAGAGGGGAGGGGGGGGGGGGTGCGCTTCTCTCCTTTTTCGTCTTCCAAAACCGGTATTTTTTCTACTACAAGACGGTCCGTTCCTCTGTACTGTAAATCTGTGACCACGGGAAGGTGTCCGCGTCAGTTGGACAAGTACCGATGTTAGATGGTACTAAGCAGAGACCGGAAGGGTGCAACAGTTATACAACAGCAACAGCAACAAAAAACAAGCGTGTCTATCATGTCAATACAACAGCAACAACAACACAAAACAAGCGTGTCTATCATGGCGGCACCGGGCGTACCTTTGCCAGCGGAAACCGCGATGGAAGCAAAGAAAGGTCGACAACGAAAGCACAGTACTCTGGTGGGTAGAAGTCGGCCGCACTCCAACTCCAACCCTGTCTGCAACTTGGGAGGCTCGTTGAATCGGATCGAAGAAGTGGCGAGGAGCTGGTAGACGCGGAGTATTCCTCAGTTTGTTACCGACCTTGTGCTCCAGGTTGCGAGTTTTGCGTGGCTGCTGCAAAGAGCCGTTGGTATTGGTGATCCCCGTACCGGGGCTGGCGTTTTTTTTCTCCTTGTCTTTCTAGCCCATTCCCTGACGACTCTTGGTCGTTATTACTGTTGGCGCCCCCCCACCCCGCCGCCGTTTTAGAGTTTTGTGTTCCTTTTTTACTTCGATTCTGGCCTTCCGGTCGGCGGTGCACTGGTTGGATTAGCATATATTTTCTTGCTCTTGCGCTTCGGATTGGGGTGGGGGTGGTGTATATTGCTGATCCGTCTCTCTCTCTGTCTTTCTCTCTGTCTCTCTCTCCCTACATGTATCTTGACGCGGGTGCGGCAATGACTGACTTGACACGCTTGCCTACGTACACACACACATCACAAACAAACAACGAACACCGGTTTGGTGCGCACCTCACGTACCACCAACTCCCCGACACTGCCTGTAATATGATGTGGTTCTGCTGTAGATCGCAAACGTCGGCTTTCTCGACGTCGACCAAGAAACCGTGGGGAATGCGCTGGCGAGCGAGACGATGTTCATCCATGGCAGTCTCACCGGCGGCGGCGGCACCCAGTTCGCCTCAGGTGCCACGGCCGAGAAGGGGGGTAACGCGGCGGCGGCATCGGAGGGCGGGAACTCGCTCAGGATAATGGCGTCCTTGGAGGCCAACGCCGCGGGGGAGGACGTCGGCGGCGGTGGCCCTTCCACCAGGCTGGCCACGCCGGAGTGTCGGACGGAGTGCGGCAGCACCGTGAGCTGGGACCTTCTCGGCGGCGGCGGCGGCGGCGGCGGGGATGGCGTCATGGACATGGCCACTGTCTGCGACCACGCCACGTGCTCGGCTGCTACGGCGGGGAGCGCGGACGGGAAGCCAGGCGCGTGGTCTTGCGGCGCCGGCGACGAGGAGAGGTTCGGCAAGCACTGCCGCCCGTGCTACTTCGATGCCGAGGAGGCGCTCAAGGCCGACCGGGTCCTGCAGAACCAGACGCGTGAGGCCAGCGAGGAGCAGCCCCACCACGTCATCATGTGCGACACTCTTCGCCCCCCGGAGGCCTCGACCTGCAGCCTCAAGTGCGCAACGAAGAAGGACACAGTGAGTGGTGCTGCTATCTACTTTCTATGGGGTCCGATGACGTCACTTTTACGGGGACGAGCCCTTGCCCTGTACGTAGGAGGAGAAACATGGCCTCAAACACCTTGAACGAGCCATTTTTCGCGCTTTGGATAGCTGCCTCTTCTTGTGTTTGACATGGAACAGAAGAGGCTTTCCGCGTCTGTCTGTGGCTCCTGCTTCGCTATCCGTGGTTGGTGTTGAAGATGGCGTTTGTTCACCCCTCGCTGCCGCTCTCTCTGTAGAAAGCATCTCCGACTTCTATGCGACAAAAGATAGACAGAGCGTTTTTTTATTTTAGGTCTACGGGTGGTACGAGGTGAACAGCGTCGTCTGAAGCGCTGGGAGCTACGTTAGTGCATTCGTGACAATTGAAAGGCACGCACAAACGCAAGCACGCGCCCTCCCTAACCTTATGAAACCCCGCCCGGCTGTATGTACCACATCAGATTTGCGACGACAGATGCAAGTCTGGGCTCTTCGGCAACTACAACTGCAACTGGAGAGATCACGGAGGTATGGCACGACGGTGTGGCGGGGGGAGGGTCATTGTGTTGGTGTACTAGCACGGCGATAAATCCCTATTAATAGGTGATCAGAAAAATGGTGAAGCTTGCCTCAAGTCACCTCGGCCACGAACCACGCGCCCCTTACCGGGCGAGGCAGGCTCTCCTACTCCTGGTGTAGACGACGCGCCAACATTCGGGAGCTCTTAATGTGCCTACAGTGTTTCACCACACGATCCTATCCCCGTTCGTCATGGGGGTTTCGTGGCCACCATTCATCTCCCATCATTGTTAGCGATCGACTCCTGACTTTGGTTGGACGCAAATTATCTCCTTCACCCCTGCGCCCAGAGCATTGTCGGTTCTGCTTCGACGACACGGCGGCCGCCATCGTGGCGGACAAGGCAGCCAAGCGCACGGGGGGCAGGGTCATCATGTGCAACACGCACGAGCCCCCGGTGGAGCTGACTCAGGCCGAGTTGGATGCCTTGGAGAAGGAGCGAATCGAGCACGTCATGGAGGCGGCGGCGTCAAAGATGGCGAACGCTGCTAAGCAGGAGAAAAAAACGTCGAACACGAAAGGGTGCGTATTGTCGCAAAAGTAGGGGTAACCGTACGGATAGGACAAAAGAGACAATAAAGCAGTCGGAGAGAGATTCCGTGTGCAAGGAAGGGTGTTGGGGCAAGTCAGCCGCAGATCTGGGTACCGCGGCCGCCGCGGGGCACGGCCACCACCGAATCGAATGAAAAAGCTGCAGAATTACTATTACCGTAGAACGTCAGGCCCATTAGAACGTTAGCCCCCGCCAACCACCCGCGCCCCGCCCTCCGCTGCCGCCGGGGTGCTGCGCGCTGTCCCCCGAACCAATCAAACCTATGCTACGTCACAGGCATGCCAACCCCGGCGGAAAGACCGCCGGTGATGAGGGGGAACCTGACGCCCCGGTGCACCCTGCGATGATAGAATACTCGAAAGACCTGCTTCGCGGGGAGATGTGCGCGTTCGCCACGGCGTACTACTTGTACCTGCGGGAGACCGAGGCCAGCGTGAGAAGCCTGGCGCATTTCCTGCCCGGCATGAGGGTGCGGCTTGCGGTGGACACTATCCACTTCTCCGTGTTCAATCGGTGAGCGGGGCGGCGCGGCGCGGCGCGGCGCGGCGCGGTGCGCTTCGGTGCATGTGATCGGTGGCCACGAGGGGGCGGGGCCTTGGTGTGCTGCGGTTTGCTTGGTTGGTGGTGTTGCTTCGCCGTTTGTTTCTGGCAGGCGGCCGAAGAATGGCCGACTTTGAAGCCTTGATTGGAGATGGTGTTTGCCGGGATCCTTCCAAGTTAGGACGCAGCCAAGAGGCACGTCCGTCCGTCTCCCGTCGTGGGCGTCTCTCCTTCCTTGACTGCTGTTTTATTGGAACGCGTCGGGCCGCGGATTTACCGATCGGTCGGATCCCTCGGCGAAGTTACGGTCGGTCGCGATGACCGGCTTGCGCGATCGCAAGGATTACGACGGCAGTCTTGTATCTTTCCTCGGGACGTGTGGTAGAATCCCCTCAGGACCTTGTAGAATGCGCGGGCGAATGCAAAGGTATAGAATGTGGAGGAGGCGAATGTCCAGCTTCATCTTGTTTCCGCTTTGGGGAGGTCTCGTGCCACACCTTTCTTGCCACGAGTAGGTGCTGTGCGCTACTGCTGTGCATTCGGCCGCCCCCACCCCCCCCGCTACGCGCGCGTCTTTCGCCTCGCGAGCAACCGACGTTAACAACAACAATCTTACCCGACCCCCCACCCCAAACACGCCAAAACGCGGCTGAACCCCCTCGCCGTCATCAGGACCCTGGGCGGTTACCCCGACGTGGAAGTCGTCAACGCGACCACGACGGGGGGTCACGCCTCCCTCCTCGCCGACGTTCACTGCGGCGAGGGCACCAAGCTCATCCTCTACCTCGGCCCGGGGGACGTCGTGTCCCGCCCTTTCTCGAAGAAGGACACCCACGGCACCCGTGGGGAGTTGCTCGTGCCATATACGGAGCCCGAGAGACTGGACGAGTACCACATCAAGCGGACCCAGGCCACGACCTCCTTGCTCGGCTTCGACGCGCCCTCCTTTTCGTGAGTGCGGCGTGTGTACCGATGTGTTTTTATTGCTAGCATCGACCGCGCTAACCTGCCGACCAATGCGGCGTGGCGTGTGGGTTCGTTCTTGCCACTAGCGGTTGCTTTTTTCTTTTTACCCGATCCTCTCGATTGTTGCTGTTGATGCTGGCTGTTGCTCTTGTTGGTCGTCGCTCACGCACATTCTGTTCGTTGGGCGAGCCCCGGGCGATGATGCTACATACAATAGTCCCAAGCAAGCCACACACAACATGCGCGAACACGAAAGGAATGGTTGAATACATATAACCAGCAACAACGCGCGGAGAGGGAGACTGAAATAACAACGCGAGCAGACACTAGAAGCCTCGCGAGACACGTGCGTTTTCTCTTCATCTGCTACAGTCTTATGTCTTCAATCCGTCGGAGGATAACCTAGCCTTCTCCTTTGACGCCCCCTCACGGGGATCCAGATCATAACTGCCTTCAGAAGCGCTTTTTTTTTTCCGCCGAGACTGACGTATGTTCATTGGTCAGCCGGATAGAGCGGTCGACGCTCGCAAAGCAATCCCGTAGTCTACATGTGCAAGCACGCATTTTTTAAAAAGGAAGACACACAGGCAGGCACGAAAAATCTTGCTCTTTTCACGTGCGCGTGTATGCCCGACGTTCACCCGCACGTCTTTGCTTGATGCATGCTTGTGTCTCCCGCAGGTTTGGAACGGATCTCTTCTTGCCCGCGTGGGTTAACCGCGAGTTACGTCGCGTTCTGGCGAGCGGGACAGCGCTCCCGTCCAAGGCATGGAAGCCCGATGACAGAGACTTCCAGCGGATAGCCATGTCTATTATGATGGAAACCGAGGACGCCTTCGTGCCGGAGGTGCCACGCGCGCGTGTGTGTTGGGGGATGGTGGTGGCAGCAGCGCCGGAGGGAGGGGGTGCAGCGCTGCTGGCTGATTTTTCGCTAACTTTCCTACCATCTTCCGGCGTGCAAAACCCACTCCTCCTCCCTTCGTTTGTCATTATTTCTGCTGGTCTTATTCACGGACGCGCGCATGCCCACCAATAAGCCTCGCGCATTGCTTCCATGCTCCGTGACGTGCTGAGCCTAACACAGAGTCCCCGCCCCCTCTTGGCCTTCCATCGTTCTTGCGTCGTGCTCGTACGCCCATACCCGCTCCACACGGACGGACGGACGAACGTATGCTCCAACCAACGGTTACTACAATAAACAAATGCAGCTGCTGGCGGCGCTGGCGTACTCGCGGAACCCTCCGGAGATCTGGTTCCTCAACCCGACGCAGTGGGTGACGCACCACATGTTTAAGCACGCCTCCGTGTGGGACGTCCCCCTCGTCAAGCCCCGCTTCTTGTGCGCGGCAAACCTGGCGCTGGCGAAGCAAGGCTACGACGTCGCGCGCGAGCTCAACAGGTGAGGCGTAGGAGGCGGCCCATCGTCCATACCTCATCTTGCTCTTGTTGCGTACCTTGTCAATAGCACGGACTGACTGCTGCTGCCTCAAAAAGAGGTGGGAACGGAGTCGGTGGCGTGCTCTTGCGCGAGTCAAGCACATCAGGGGCTCCGGGAAATAGCTGCGACATCATCGGTACGATCGCGCCTGCGACCGGGGACGGAATCAAAATCAGTTGTGCCTGTGACGAATGGTTCCCGCCGGGGATTGCGCAGGCAGACGAGGTCGGGGAGCTGGAGGGGGGGGGGTCGGGGTTACGCCAAATGCTACTTGAACTTGCCAGTGGCCGTGTGCACCACGATTCGACCTCGTGCCGCGGGTTAGTCTCACCGCGTGTTCGGACGAGAGATGAACCTCTCACGGCGATAGAGACTCCGGGTCAACCTCCAACTATTGCCAGATAACTTAGCGCCATAAGTTCGATTCTGTCTCAGGAGAGTTTTTTTCCCGTTTTTTTTTCCAGCAACCTGTGGTTGAAAGGGATCTAGGTCGTGAGCAAACAAACTTCGGCTTCACGATCGACGAGGGAAAGGGAAGGTTGAACCCTTCTCGCGATATAAACCAAGGCAACCACCGCAGGGGGAAAGGTGGGGCAATAAAACAAAACAGAAAAAAATGAAGAAAAACTCCTGTGCTCCTGTGTGACCTTCCTCTTGTGTGACCCCGGCTGATACGTCGGGTACATACAATACGCCGAAAGGCCTGTACACCGGTGCCAAAATACACGGGACGAACACACACGCATTGAAAGCATCATCATCCATCCCAATTGCCAACCACGAAGCTTGGCTAGGACTTTGCTTCGAAGCACACACGCCCTCATCTTTCATTGGTTAGCCGTTAGCACGGCAGATGCTACAATGGCATATGGGAAGAGAGATGGTCATTTTTGTCGACCGCTCTGATCTTCCACACATGGGGTGCCGGAGAAATAGAGGAACTGCCCGACCCAAAAGTTGTGGTAGAAATGTTAACGAGGAGGATGGTATGTCGAACAACAACATGCGGAGGGAGCCAGAACGAACACGAGCAGAATGTGGAAGCCTCGGTAGATTATGTTCTTCTTCATCTTCCACCGTTTCTGTGCTTCACCCGGAGACTAGCCTAGCCTCTCCCATGTCGTCCCCGCACGGCGTCTCAGATCATGCATGGCCTTTTAGTTTGGAGCAGCTTCTATTTTCCAGCCGCACTCTGAGACTGGCGTTTTTTCGTTGTTCAGCCGGCTAGCGAGGTCGATGCTACTATTCAATACACACAACACACGCGTGTGTCTGCCGTGTCAAGGGGACCCAGGTCACGGCTCTTGAAGTCGTCATTCCGGTTCAGCCGCTTACGTCTTTTCATTGGTCAGCCGGTCGATACAAAAAAACAGTAAAGACACACACGTACACAGCAGATGTGCACGCGCGGGTACCCCCCTTACTTGGATTGCAGGTTCGCCGACTTCAGCGACGGGGGCCGTGGCAAGAAGTGCGAGATGGGCTACCTGGCCCTGGACACCTCCAAGCTCCAAGCCAAGCCCAACGTCGAGTACGGCTCCGTGGCGAAAAACCACCGCCCCATGCCCTTGGTGGAGGACCAGCGGGTGAGCCTGTTCTACGACGCAACCGTGGCCCCCGCCGCCATCGCCGCCGACGCCGCCGACGCCGCCGACAAGAACGGCGTCGGCGGCGTCAGGAACGACACCCACGCCGAAGGCGCCCGGATGCTCAACGCCACGCTCCCGACGGTGCTGAAGAACTTCCCGGGCGCTCTGGAGGCGGTGATCGTCGTCCCGAACACGGACGCGTGGAGGGAGTACCAGCTGGTCGTGGGGGTGCACAATAACAACGGCACCCCGTTCGACATCAAGGTCGTTAACGTCGGCGGGGATGATGCTAGCTCGGACTGGGTGTCTAAAGACGGGACGGGGAGCGGGCTCGGCGAGGAGGCGTCGCCTCGGAAGGCGATTGGACGGCGTCGGGGCAGCGAGGCGGAGGAACAGCCGTTCCCCCTCCTGTGGACCGACACGTACTGCTCCGGGAAGTTCGTCCTGCACCTGGACCTGAACTCCGTGCTGCTCGAGAGAATAACGTACGACCACATGTTCCATTTCGAGAAGCCTGTCATCCCCCTCAATAGGTTCCAAGACGTAGGTGAGTGGGGAAGAAGTGACCGAGGAACGCAAAGTGGCTGGACGGGACGCGTGGGTTGGCGGGGCAGAGGAGGACTGATTGGACCAGAAGGTTTTGGGGTTGTTTTTCGTCGGCAAAAACAGTAGTGCGGTTCTGATCCGGGGTGTCCCGGCGTGGTACGCGGCTCTTACGGCGTGTCTTAAAATAACACAGAATAATCCCTCCCAAAATGCAAGCGACAGGTAACATGGAACCGGAGTAGACATGTGACTGACGGCCCGAACACATGTTCTTACTATTGCTCTATTTTGTAGCAACTTGTTGGTCACGGCAGACCGCTATTTAATTTGGTGCTTCCGCCGAGCGCATCGTTTTCGATCGGCCCGTTCCATAACAACTGCCCAGTAGTCCCCGAAACGGGCTCACAGCGGAGGCAAAGAGCACCAAAAAGGTTCCTGAAATGGTTCAAATTGACGGGTCTATGTGTGGTGATGGAATGAGTGTGACCGATCGGGAGATGTCCCCGCCGCAGGTGTTGCCTACCAGCTACCATGGTATCTATGTTCCCGGTCGAATCGCCGTCGGCAACGTAGTTGTCGACCCTTTCCGCGTGTTTTCGAAAGACGTCCGGGTCACCGATGATGCCGTTAACTTTTTCAAGAGCGGATGGTTTCGAACGCGGGGGGGGGGGGGGGGGGGGGG